CTGGTGGTCCGGTGGTGGTAAGCACTGCAGGGGGAGGGCTCCAGGAAGCAGCTCCCCTGTCCTCTCGCGCAATGCTGTGTGGAGCGTTGCCATGGTAACGCGCGGCAATGCTCCACACAGCATCGCGCGGGAGGACAGGGGAGCTGCTTCCTGGAGCCCTCCCCCTGCCTCCCGACCCGGAAGCAGAGTAGGCGCCTGCCGTTTCGGGCAGGCGCCTACTCTGCATTGATGGCGGACCTGTGGCCGCGTGCCCACAGAAAGGGCCCCGCGTGCCACAGGTTCGCCATCACTGGTCTAGGGGATGTGGAGTATGAAAACATAATAGGAAATGCAGTGAGGTGGACAGCAGCCAAACAAAGTGGAAATTAAGCAGAACTGATGGAAGGTGGGTGTTGAGTGTGGCCCTTTAGGAGAGAGCAAGAGACAGGTTTGTGATATAGAGGTTACATAAAATTTTCTGAAGAGGGGCTTTTTAAGCAATTTAATACTAGGGGAGAGTCTGATGGGAGTAGGTAGACTGTTCCAAAGGAAAGGAATCCCCCACAAGAAGTCCTGCAAATGCACATAGAGCCAGACCCCATATACAATCACACTCTGGCAACTCCACACATACATATCACACTCAGCCAGCCACACACATCCAATTCAAGTGTATTGCTTAGGTTGAGGAAGGGAGGCAATAAGGGGGTTCTTGTACGATTCTTGCACCGGAGCCCAAGTTATGCCCTTGGCATGGAGTGTTCTTTCAACAGTGGCATCCTTTATCTCTTGCAATTCATTTGCAATATGCAAGCTTATCTTGTCTAGTATACGCTGTTGTAACTGACAACTGATTCAGAAAAAGTCTCCCCTCTCTCTGGAAATGAGAGACTCAGACTCTTCATATTACAGATTTACATATTTTATCCTATGTATTATCAAGTTTGATTCACTTAGCCCTAATACATATTCTATTAATCATTGTATGTCATTGTTATAAATGTCTATGTCTATAAGAACAAATACAAAAATTACAAATATAAATGTTGATTTCTGTCAAAGTCAATATCATTCATTTCACTCACTTTGGTGATATAATTTTGATATATGGAGTCTCACAGTGTGCGCTAACTGGGAGAAATTAAGTTTTAGATTTTGACTCGAGGATTAATCTTACAGAAGAGCATCACAGGAGATAACATAATTACATTACATGCATAAAAAATATAAGAATCCGAACACTGGGAGAGAAAATGTGAGTGCATTTTTTTAAAAGCACAAATAAAACAGTTGCATACAGTAGTAATGTGCAATTTTCTAACACTTTTGGTTTAAAGGCAAATTTATAATGTTTTTAATGCATTGGTCATATGTACATATTAATCAGGGAAGAGATCTCTGATATCTCTCCCTCCCCTTCTAATACATCTTCCAATACATCACCCAACTCCACTGTTCTATGCTCATTCGCACCTACTACAACAGAAGAGGTTTCTGCTCTGCTCCGGTACCCCGCACCACAATCTGTTCCCTCGATCCTATTCCGTCATATCTCATCTGCACTCTGTCTCCCTCTCTTTCTCTTCCTTTCACTAAAGTTTTCAATCTCTCCCTTTCCTCCAGCACATTTCCTTCACTCTTCAAGCATGCAACCATAACGTAATTCTGAAAAAGCCCAACCTCAACCCCAACTCCCCATCCATCAGCCCTATATCGCTACTGCCCTTTGCCTCCAAGATCCTTGAGAGATTTGTGTATGTGAGATTGACAGACTTCCTCAAATCCAACTCTCTGCTTGACCCGCTTCAGTCTGGATTCCGCGCTTGTCACTCTGTTGAAACAGCTGTGACCAAAGTATCCAACTATTTCATCGCTGCTAAATCTCGCGGTCATTACTCTTTCATAATTCTCCTTGATCTTTCTGCTGCCGTTGACACTGTGATCATCAACAGCTTCTTCTCATGCTCCATAATTTTGGTCTATGAGATACTGCTCTCTCCTGGTGCCCCTCCTACCTCCCAGCGCTTTTTCAGTGTTTCTCTGCCTCTTCTCCCCAACCCCTCTCTGTTGGTGTCCCCCAAGGTTCAGTCCTTGGTCCCCTGTGGTTATTCATCTACACTGCCTCCCTTGTGAACTCATCAGCTCCTTTGGCTGCCCATTATGATTTATATGCAGATGATACGCAAATCTACCTGTCCTCTCCTGATCTCTCTCCCACTTTGACTCGTGTCTCTGACTGCCTCTCCATGATTTCCCATTGGATGGCTGCTCACTTCCTTAAACTCAACCTGTCCAAAACAGAACTTCTGGTCTTTCCTCCCTCAAGTGTTGCTACTCCCATGTCTGACTCCCTCCAAGTCAATGGCGCCACCATCACCTCTATCTCGCAAGCTCGCTGCCTTTGTGTTCTCTTTGACTTTGACCTCTCCTTCATCCCTCATGTCCAGTCAATCACCAAATCTTGCCGCTTCCATCTTAAAAACATAACTCGCATCCGCCCCTATTTAACACCAGACGCTGCTGGTTCATGCCATTGTTCTTTCTTGTCTTGACCACTGCAATCCCCTTCTCAGTGGTCTTACGTGTTCCCAGATTGCACCGCTGCAATCTATTATGAACGCGGTGGCAAGGCTCATTATCCTGTCCGCCCGTACCTCCCACGCCCCTCTCCCCGGTCACTCCCTACATTGGCTTCCACTTAGATATAAGATTCTGGTGCTTGCTTACAAGTCCCTACATAATGCTGCACCAACCTACCTATCCTCTCTAATACACAAGTATGTCCCGTCGAGGCCCCTGCGCTCTGCTGAAGACCTATGTCTATCCTCTGTTCGTACTCCCACATCTGATTGCTGATTGCTCACTTCCAAGACTTCTCCAGGGCTGCAACTTTTCTGTGGAACTCAGTCTCCCCACCCCCCCATGACTCCTCTCCTGCAACTGTCAATATAAACTTCTAAGTTCCCAGTGAATACTTTTCTAGCAACTTATTTTATTACCCCTACTTATACCCTTTGTGTCACTATACGCACTCCCTCTAGCATGTAAGCTCATTGAGCAGGGCCGTCAACCACTCTGTTCCTGTGCGTCTATTTGTCTGTTACATTTGCGTGTGTGTTAGTAAACCCATAGTACAGTGCTAAGGAATTTTGCTAGCGCTATATAAATAATAAAAAAAAAATAATAATTGAAAAAAATTAATTGAAGTTGTAACACCTAATCTGCATAATTTTCAAACATTTTGACTTTTTTCCTTTCTCACTATTTTTTTAATTTTATGTTTTTTTTAAATATGTATTTTAACTTACCTGTTGGCCTTGCTTAAATACATTTTACAAATGATTTAATACTTACAAAATGATAATACACAGAGATAACTATTAAAGTCTATGGGGAATTTTGCAGCTAAATCGTTTGAAAAGTTTTTCTATGAGTAGTGAATAATTTGGAAAGCTTATTAAATAGAGGACATTATTTGATGTCACTGCACTGTGTTGATATATATGAGTACAACTAATAGATTTTACCTGTTTCCTTTTATTACATTTAAGTACATACAAATTAAGTATTAATTGTAGGACTAAAACATAAAGTAGATTACACTTTTTATGTGCTCTTTATTTTGTTGAACCTTGCTTATATATCCATTTTTATTATTTGCCATTTAGTCCCTTATTGCTTTCATTTTCAGAACTGGAACTTGAAACAATTTGCAATGAGCTGTGGAACTCATAAAGACTGAAAATCCATTGTGGCACAAAGAACTTAACTAATTTGTGAAGATGAATTAGAGGTTGTAACAGATGAAAGCCAGGAAGCATTTTCTACAGGCATCGAAACGCGTAGCGACCACTTGAACTGTTGACTGCATCTACCCCATGGGTTTTTTCAAACAAGGAAGACACAACAAGGAGGACCATGCTGTATCCCAAAGAAAGGCCATGAGAGGACAAAATGCTTCTGTGTTAAGCTTGTTTACATCTTCATGTGTGTGGTTCTAGTCCATAAGATATTGTATTTAATGATCTTAATATAACGCAAGCCTCTAGTTTTGATTTTCTGTTTAACACAAATTAAACAGTCCTGAATTTTATTTTGTGGAATAGTCCATTGAAGCTGATGGGTTCTTATTCCTGAGCTCTGAACTGTGAACTAGCCAAAGAATTTGAGTAAGGTAACCTAAGCAATCAGCCAAGATAGGTTGTCCAACACCTTATTTGGTACTTTTTACTGTTTGGTTACAACCAGGGTGGATAAAAATCAATGGTTTTTAAAAAAAAAAAATTAAAAAAATCTGAATTTTTTTGATTTCAAACGGATTTTTTTTAAATAAAATGCTTTTTGAGGAAACTTTATTACCATCCAAAGGTTCTAACATATGGTTGCAGTGCTCATTTGCTGCACCTCTTAGCCAAAGACTTAAGTGTTCCAGAAATAAAGACTAATGTTGTTGAAATTGCTAAATACTTCCGTAACAATCATTTTGCTGCAGCAGCTCTGAAAAGGATGGGTGGAACCAAGCTAACGCTCTCACAAGATGTTAGATGGAACTCTGTGGTGGGCTGTTTTGAGCAGTATATCAAGAACTGGCCTATTCTGATGACAGTTTGTGAACAAAATCGAGATAAAATAGATGACACTGTCACTGCCAAAATCCTCAACATTGGGCTTAAGAGAAATGTTGAACATATGCTGAGCATCCTGAAACCCATCTCTGAAGCTTTAAACAAAATACAGAAAAATAGCTGTTTTATTGCTGATGCTGTTGAAGTTTGGAAGGAACTGAGTGAACACTTAAAAACAGAACTACACATGGACAGAATTAAATTACAAGCATTAAAAAAACGAATGGGACAAGTACTGTCTCCAGCTAATTTTTTGGCAAATATTGTCAATATCTAGTACCAGGGTCAAAACTTAAGTGCTGATGAAGAGGAGTTAGCTATGACATGGGTATCCAGCAATCATCCATCTGTAATGCCAACTATAATAAACTTCAAAGCTAGGGGGAACCATTCAAGAAACATATGTTTGCTGAAGATATTTTAAAGAAAGTCACACCAGTGAACTGGTGGAAGTCACTTAAGCACTTGGATTTAGAGACTGTTCAAGTAATGATTTCACTTTTAACAGCAGTAGCTTCTTCTGCAGGCGTTGAAATAATATTCTCATCCTTTGGACTCATTCATTCTAAATTGAGAAATCGTTTGGGACCCGATAAAGCAGGAAAGCTTGTTTTTCTTTTCCAGATTATGAACAAAGAAGAAGATGAAGATGACGAGTGAGCTACAGAGGACAGTATTTAAGTTTTTCATGTGTAGGCAGGGCTGACAGTCTAAGTTTCTTAAAATATATATATTTTGTTTAGCCAAATTAGTTAACAAACATGGATGTTTGTTTAAGCAAATAACAAATGCTGTAATGTTATTATTTCAGTTGAATAAATCTGCTTAAATTGTTATTATTAAGGTAATGATTTTTTTTTCTCCTTCCTAAGTAAAACAGAAAAGTTGTCCAAATATGAATGATTAACTTATTAAACTGGGGATAAAAAAAACTAATATGAAAAGTTGTTATTCTAAAAATCTTCATCTACTTGCATATTAAAGTTATACCAGCAAGAATTAGTCTTTATGTAGAAAACTATGATTTAAATCAAGCATTACTGACTAGTGGTTTAAATCGTGATTTAAATCACTTTGATTTAAATCAAATCCACCCTGGTTACGACTAAATCTACTGCACACTATTTTTTCGTAACACACACTTTTTTAAATAAAATATGCTGTAAAAGGATGATAGATCTATGTCATACTTAATAAATAATATATGGAGCAGCAGATATTATAAACAAAACATCTGATTCTATTTTAGTTGTCTTTTGCATTTTATGATAACATTCTTCCATACCTTGGGTACACTATTGCCAATGGATTGCTTACACTTCTTACATTCAACCGTTATTTTTAGTTTGAAGAACTATGTCCAGTGAAACCACCAGATTGCTTACAACTTACCTGAAGCTCTTTTTTTTTGTCCTGTAAGTAGCTTTTCAGTGCCTATTTCTCTAGCCAGTGTATCTGTACTATGTATTGTGTCTTTGAACCTTTTTGGTGTTCTTTTCTCTCAAGAAACAGAAGACGTTATCCTAGGATTAGATGGACAAATATTTTGGTGTAGTTCTCGTGGCAGTTACTGCTGACTACAAATGTCTTGGGCATGCATGGAGTGGTGAGGTGAAATATAAACACACAGATATTTAATAAGTGGAATTTAGGCTAATTTAGTGTTAAGCTGAAGCTCATTAGTTCTAGTAAGTAAACTTATTTAAATACTTGTAAAAATAGAGCTGCAGGAAATGTTGGCACTACGTAAATTCAAATGGAAATAGTTTAGGATTATAATACAGAGCTATGAATCTAGAATTTTTCACTTCTTTTCAATTTATTATGCAAGCTAAAAGTAAAATAAATATGGGACAATATTCATTTCACATAAAACACAAGACGTTCTCTTCTATCTCTACATCCTATGGTGCTTGTACACAACAATATGGGGTTTAAGCGTAATCCTAAATTAAAACAAAAAAAACTAAAAAAACAGAACCATGGTGTAATACTGTTTTAAATTTCAAGTTATTGCAAAGCCAAGATTTAAGTGAGATTTTGCTTTAGAGGTTTCTCCTCTTGATGTACTGGGTGGCTTTTAGCACACCTACTCCCTCTACTATAAATGCATCCTGCTTCAGTTCCAGGACATTCAGGACACCAGATGCATTAAATGGAACTTTTATTTTTTATTTGTATAGAATATATAAAAAACAGAACAGTCGTATGAATTTTGTCTTAACCTCAGTAAGAATTCTTAAGGGACCAAATATTTTTAAAACTAAAAATATACTGAACAAAATTATAAATGCAACACTTTTGTTTTTGCCCCCCATTTTTCATGAGCTGAACTCAGACAGATTTGTGTACAATATTTGAGAGAAATAGGCCTTTTGTGTACATAGAAAAAAATCTTAGATCTTTGAGTTCAGCTCATGAAAAATGGGGGGCAAAAACCAAAAGTGTTGCATTTATAATTTTGTTCAGTGTCTGAATCCCCACTGCCTGGTTGTCCATATACATAGCCCTTCCACTCTTCTCTTATTTATGTGTCCATGTATATAGGATCCTACTGTGCATGCCTGTGTATTCAGTGACAAAATGCAAGATTTTCTCATTTCAATTATTGTAGCTGAACGGAGCAGAACTCAATTATCTATGAACTGCTAGATATAGATAGAAAAATGTATATAATTAATATTTGATTATGCAGAACAGTTAATGAATTACATGTATTTTGCATGGCAGAGTAACATTTGCAGTTCTTTATATCTTTCTCCAGACTAAATCAAGAAAATACATCCATCCTTCATGTAACCAACTGGGAGCCCAGAAACGAAAGATAAAATTTGAAATCCTTGTAAAAAAGAATTACAATATTCAAACAGATTAGAAAACATTACAGACTTCAAAATTATATTGTCCTGATATATTACATCTGTATTTCGTGATTTAATCCTTGTATATTTGAATTTGAGCACCTATTCCACTGCCTTTTGCTTCTGTCATTATCTTCCTAATTCTACAGTTGTTTTTATGCCGATCCTTTGCCTGTATTACAGATATATCTAGAGGTTTGTTTTTCTTTTTCAGCAGTTTTGTTACTTTTATATTAAATGTATTCACACCCCTTTATATTTTATATGCATGTATACTGTAACGGAGCGACGGTACCCAGAGTGGTACCTCCATGGTAAATTTCTCCCTGATCCCGCAAGGCAAATAGTGAATATTGTTCCTGCTTACCCAAAACATCAGTTGAGACTTGATGAAAGGTAAAGCAACTGGTTTTATTTGAAAAGGACACAGGTTTATATACACAGACCTCCAGCATGGCGTCTCTATTCAACACAATAGGCCCACCCAGGAGTCTCTGTGTCTGCAATATAATTATGTCCGCTCTCGGGTTTAATTAATTAACTCCCAGATACAGAGAGCGCAACATCCATAAAATAACATTGTACCCCCACATATTGTATATCTCTGTTTTCTTCACAGAATGGGCACTCGGATCCATAAAATAACATTGTACCCCCACATATTATATATCTCTGCTTTTTTCACAGTATGGGCACTCGGATCCATAAAATAACATTGTACCCCCACATATTATATATCTCTGTTTTCTTCACAGAATGGGCACTCGGATCCATAAAATAACATTGTACCCCCACATATTATATATCTCTGTTTTTTTCACAGAATGGGCACTCGGATCCATAAAATAACATTGTACCCCCACATATTATATATCTGCTTTTTTTCACAGAATGGGCACTCGGATCCATAATATAACATTGTACACATATTTTATAGCTCTGCTTTTTTCTAGAATGGGCACTCGGATCCATAAAATAGCATTGTACCCCCATATTATATATCTCCGTTTTTTCACAGAATGGAGCTCGGATCATAAAATAACATTGTACCCCCACATATTATATATCTCCGTTTTTTTCACAGAATGGGCACTCGGATCCATAAAATAACATTGTACCCCCACATATTATATATCTCCGCTTTTTTCACAGAATGGGCACTCGGATCCATTAAATAGCATTGTACCCCCACATATTTTATATCTCTGCTTTTTTCACAGAATGGGCACTCGGATCCATAAAATAACATTGTACTCCCACATATTTTATATCTCTGCTATTTTCACAGAATGGGCACTCGGATCCATAAAATAACATTGTACCCCCACATATTATATATCTCCATTTTTTTCACAGAATGGGCACTCGGATCCATAAAATAACATTGTACTCCCACATATTATATATCTCCGCTTTTTTCACAGAATGGGCACGGGGCATTTTCAACCAGGATAAATTTCTGGCTGGCCGCTCCAAAAGTTCTTTACGTGTAGATATTCTGTGGCTATAAATACTTTCTTCAAAGTGATTCATTTTAGAAAGTGGGCATGAGTATGACTAGTTTTATTAACAAAAAAAAGCCATTAGTTCCCACTTGAGCACTATAAGCATCACCAACGTCTTGTGGTAGTCCATTGTTCTATTAGGTAAATGAAAAGGAAGTACAAGAGAATACTGAAAACAGAAAGCAACTCAATTAGTGTGCCATTCTTTATGTCTTAATTAGGAATCATATCTGTAATTTTTAAATAAAATGAACATCCATATTATCCAAATATCCAAATTACTGTGAATCAAGTTTTCAAAATTCTCTTTTTTATTACAAGTGTTAGAATTCTGTATTTCTTCTGCTCACATCTATTTTTGACTGCTTGTAAATGATAGCTTTCTTTATTTCTTTGTCATTTCTGCTGAACAAGACAGTGTAGCAATACTGAGTAAGATGTTATTGTTAGAAATCATATTTTAATGCAATAGAAATGGATGTGGGGCAGTCAGTGGTTATTTAAGGACATGTCCTCATTTTGTGTTCCAGACAAAGTAGCCAAATATCTGCATATGTTTGCACTATGACATGCAGAATGTTCTAGTGTAAAACAAGAATAACACTTTTATACACATTTTAATATATTTAACTCATGATGATGTTGATTATCATTAATTTGAAACAGATATACACTATTAACACAATTATATACACATAACAAACAATCTATGATCTATATGTGGATCTCTGAGACATTTCACTGTTGAGTCCCTTCTAGGTTGTCACACACTAGTCTTGAATAGATATCCGACTTCATTCAGATTTTGTTTAATAGGTGCTTGAATTCCCTTATTGATTTTTTCAGAATATAATTTTTATATATACAATATAGCTCTGAATTATTGTTACACATTAAGGGTTCCTCTCAGCTGTGACAAACACTCCTTCCCACACAGGGCCGGCCTTAGGCGCCCTGTGCGAAAAAATCTTTGCAGAGCCTCCGCCCCCCCCTAGTCATTCTTTTTATAGTGTATTAAATAAATAATGATTCAAAAAAATATTAATTCCTCTTTTCCTGTTGTTACCTAGTTGGGAGAGGGGCATGCTGATCTGAATCTGATCTGCCCCTCCACTGGGTGCAGACCATGCGTAACTGTCTCGCAAGCTCAGGGACTTGCAGTGTCCTGTGGTAATCTGCAGCAGTGCTCTGATTGGCTGGAGCTAGGAAGACGGCGACTTATGGTCTGCAGCCAGTAGAAGTGCATGCCAGATGTGTCAGACTGAAGAGTCACATGCACACAGTCCCACAGTCAGATGCACACAGTTATACATATATATCCTTGCAAGGATTAGAGCTCTCAGGAATAGAGCTAGACCTCTATCCTGTGCATGGGCGGAGAGGCACCAGGAGGACCCCAGTCAAGCAATGGCAACTGAAGCAGAAGCACTGAGATTTTCCTCAGTTTTCAGCTAGGAAACAATCCTTGGTAGAGGTACCCAATTGTGATTCAGGTAGCTTTGCTACATCAGCGTTTATCTCAAAATTGCCATTACCAAATTTCATAATTTATTTTTTTAACGTTTGCGATCTGGAGCACATGCAAAGAGTAATACACCTCTAAAGTGTTTAACGTTAAGTTCTTAATGAAAAGATTCTAAAATAATTCCATAGAAATTGCAGCTATAAACTAAATATAAATTGAGAATAATTGCACAAATCTTGTTTTCCAAAAAAGAGAGAGACAATTATATTAAACTGCATGTGTCTTGCTTTAAAGTTCAAAGTTCCCTTGAAACAGATTAATTACACCATCTGCCATGTTAGCATTTAGAACCTGTTCATGATCTTTTAGAAACTTAATAATGAGGTGTTATACCAAGTTTCTAACACTGACATATTTGCTTATTATATTAAAATAATGTGTGTCTTCTTTGTATCATTAACTTTTTGGAGTTTTTTTTTTTCCAGATAGATACCCATATGTTCATTGGGACTACTTTTTGGTTCTTCGTATAATATATTTTCATTTAATTTGCATTCAGTTCTGAGTTTGGCTTTTCTCTTTTGTTTAGTGCTGCTATGGTGTTCCTAAATATTTTATTATATCCAGAATCTTGAAACTAAGACACTTAAGTTTATCTTATCTTTAGTTTTATTTATGTATACATCACTGAAGATGCTATGTCAGCAGTAACATTGCTTTAGTTTAGAAGTACAGAAAATATTTAGATTAAGTGGAAAATATAGATTACATTATCAACTAAGCATATAATATCTTCCACAGTTCTCAGAGCAAGGACCTAAATAAAATATATAAGGGCTCCTTTAATTAGCCAATGTAATGGATGTCTCCATCTCTTGGGCTCATGGAGGGACTTGGAGTCCATGCTTCTCCCAACAGACTATGGACCATGTCCCAAAAGCCTCTTAAACTACCCAGAGAGGCTAGTGTCACTGTGGGAGGGGTATGAGGCCCTGAGTGATTGCTCTATCCCTCAGCTGGAGTTGTAGGGTTTGCCTGGATCTCCCCAAATGGGAGATACCATGAATTGTTATAGAACTATTCACTGAATAGGAACTGTGTCATAATCCAGAGAATCTTTAATTAGGTGTTCCTCAGTCCTCTGACGACCAAACATATTTGGAGGGAAACATATTTTTGGCACAATGATGAGGTTTACCTCCAAATCACAGGTACCGCTATGGGGACCAGGTTCGCACCCAGTTATGCTAATATCTTCATGGCATACTGGGAAGATTTCTTTATATGGCAGGGTCACCCCTGGGTTGCGAACCTGGTCCTCTACAAGCGGTACATCGACGATTGTTTTTTTATTTGGGAAGGAGAGGAGAGAGAACTCATGTTATTTTTAGAATACACGAATACCAATTTATTTAATTTAGCTTTTACTTCGAAATTCAGTGCAACTAGTGTTGACTTTTTAGATCTAGTTCTATATGTGGAAGAACAAAGCCTAAAATCTAAGACCTTTTTTAAGGTTGTTGACGTTAACAGCTTCATTCCAGCTGTCACCATCCACCATCCACCATGGTTGACCAACGTACCATATGGACAGTTCCAACACATAAAGAAAAAGCTGTTCAGACCATGAAATATACAAGAAACAAGTGGAAAAGGTTAAGACTCAACTTCTAGAAAAGGAATATGAGCCAGAGCTCCTACAACAATCCATGATAAGGGTTGACAATATAGAGAGACACATTTTCCTGAATACAACTAAGAGAGAAAGACTACAGGACGACAGGTTTAATTGTCCTATAATTTTTAATTACAGTAGTCAATCGCAATTCCTTAAGAAGTGAATCACAAAACATTGGCATCTTCTTAAGAAAGATCCCACTTTGGCTACTTTTTTTTACCGCATCACCCTAGAATAATAATTAGGGGAACACCAACCATAAAAAATCAACGGGTAAACAGCTTTAGACCACCTAAACCTCAAAAACATTTTCTTAATTCAGAAAGGGGCTTCTACAAATGTGTGAACTGCAGCATATGTAAAGTGACAGGACCTCCCTACAATAAAAAAGTCGCCAACTTTCAATTCTCAGTTACCAAACAATCTTTTAATATTAAAGAATGCATTACTTGCAACTCGAAGCAAGTTGTTTTCCTTTTAAGCTGCCCATGTGGATTACAGTATGTAGGACAAACCAAGAGGATGTTAAAAACAAGACTTAATGAGCACATTTACAATATTAAAAGGAAATTTGGTAAACATTCAGTATCTAGGCATTTTATGGAGTATCATGCGAGTGTTTAGAATTTTGTAGGGTTGAGAAGGTCAATATTCCCTGGAGAGGAGGAGAATTAGCAAAAAAAACTGATCTATCAGGAAATGTCCTGGATCTATAAATTGAAAACTTTGGCTCAGTCAGGAATGAATGTAAATCTTGAACTTGTAAATATTATATAATTAGCTCCTATATATGACGCCCATGGTGGAGTTTCTACACACTTGTAGTGAGCCATGTCTGAAAAGAAGCAAAGTTGGTTTGGTCCATTTTTTATCTTTACTTATATGTCTGGTAGGCAATAATTTGCATAAATAACTTAGACCACGCAATAAACACAGACACAGTTCATTTTATTTCAATGGGCTTGGCCGTGGTGTTTATTAAAGCTTGAAAATGGGGCATACCACCAGTAACTTGATAACGGTAACATATTCAGGTAAACTTTTCACTTAACTTCAATACTTTTCACTTAACTTTTACTTTCACCATCACTTAGTGACAACCATTTGTCACCATCACTTAGTGCCAGTCAGTCATAGCTAACCTGACCGCCTTATAAATACAACCATTTAACACATATCCTTCCTCAGAACTTGAACCTGAGGATGACTTTTGCCCCAAGATTCCAACACCACGACATTACATATAAACAAATTTAACAATTACTGGGAGGGAGGGTGGGTGTCCATCGGTGCTATTCCCATCCTGTAGAAAAGAAAGGTGACAGGGATTGCCTTGCACTGTCACCTTTTATACTTACCTGGTTTCCCGCTCTTTTTCTGGCTCACTGACAGCAACCAATCATCAGCCAGTTCTTGTCACCAGCAACAGCTGTGTCACCTAATCTGCCCAGCTACTTGTCCCACTCTGCCCAACAAGATGATCAGGGGTCATGAACTTACACTGACCTAGTAACCCTCTATTGCTACCATACATATATGCCACAGTGCTTAGTGCCTGTGGCCTCTTTATTTAAGTTACTTTGTTTTAAGATATATAAGATTTGATGCTTTTCAGCATGAATCTTTATTACAATTTTGAAATTCACATATAACTTATATATATTTGGTATGTTTTTAAATATTTTAGACAAGAATCCATGTTGATTTATTACTCTATTAATCTATCAGGGAGTACTCCTTAGTGATCACTCCTCAATTTCTTAAAGGTTTTTAATATAGGGAAACCATATGTCTAAATGTCTAGATTTCTTTCTTCATTTCACCATTTTTGCTATATATATATATATATATATATATATATATATATACACTTTTTTAGTTTCCAGCCAAGTATTTATTGTCTATTTTGCATTTAACAATTTTTATTATAATTGTATTTATCTTTCATGCCCCATAGGATCTTTGTATTCATAAATGTGCATTATGGTTATAATGTTTAGAATTTATCTTAACATGATTGAAATGGTTAATTGTGTTTTGTCTGAGGACCAAGAATGTTCAGATATAGACAACACCCTTTATTGAATAATTAAACAAACAGACGTTTTACTAATTAACTAAACAGGAGCATATATAAGCATGCCCCAATGAACTGTTACACTATCTTGAGAAAGCCTGGCATTGTGGGCGAAACGCGTCAAAGTGTGAACAGCTTCCTGCTGTCAGAGGTGGATGCACGTCTAACGGTCAGCATCGTTTGCCAGCCACAGCCTTCTCTCCGTTTGAATATTCATTTAATCAGCGCTGAGATCGGGCTGGAGTGTGCACGGACGGTAACGGCTGCCAAGCCTCTGTATATTTTAAAGTTTATATTGTGGTATCTTTGAAACGAGTACCACAACTTGCTGATGTAAGGGTCTTTAATTTGGGGGAAGGGTTTTGTATGTTAACTTGATTAAATTGCAGTATTATGCTATGATAGGTCTTTTTGTATCATTTCAAGGTTAAAAGCCCACAGTGCAACAATGTATCTACAGATGCTGTGACATAGCTGCAAGACTAATCTTAACCCTGTAAAAGATCATCACCCAAGATTTATTGGACCCTATAGCAAGACTTTTTATGATTATTTGAGTACTACACTTATGGTGGTCTGTTTTATTGTATTTAATTTTATTGCACTTGGAAGTATTTCCATGAATCCGCATTTATAAGTGTTTTACTTCAGATTGAAAGTGATCACCTAAATGAGGTTTTCAAGTATAGCGCTGACACTTTATTTTGTTTATATATTATGTGTAAAGTTTTTAAGGATCTTTATATGTGTATAGCTGCTGAATTTACTCACGTTCTTATTTATATTTAGTTTTATTTACGTTTAAGATCTGCGCTCTCCTATTTTGTCTAGATCTATATTTGGAGGGAATGTCAGGGAGATGATAAAGCATCTGAGGACACCACAACTTTAGGGCACTTCCTTTTTCCAGGGCTCCAGGAACCCCATTTCCTTGACTGGGACTAATCAGCCACTTGTGTGGAATTCTGAGTCGTATTGGAGGATGATCATGACCTGATCAAACTTTAAAGTGTTATAACTTGGGCTAGGAACCTCTGATTTGAGCACTCTTTGGACTTAGTATGGCTGAGGTTGAGGGCTCTCTAGGGAAATACAATGTTTGGGGGTTACACATTGGGATGGGGGTCTTTTGGGGCTTGGATTCCCTGGGTTCCCTGTCTGGAGAGGAAACAGCAGGGGGAAAACTCATTAACTGCAAACTGACCTAGTTAACTCCTATCTACCCATACCGAGTGGTGCC